TAGTAACATTTAGCCGTTCCCCGAGGTTCAGCAGAGGGCAGTTTTCTAGGGATTGCTGAGCTTCACGAGCATCTGGCGTTCACATGGACACTGCGGTGCATAAACGCTGCCCTGCTCAGTGACAGGGAGGCAGGTGCTCGTCATCAGAACGACAGATGTTTCTGAGCATGCAATTTCTTAATAGTTTTAAAAGTAAGCCTAGAATTTCTATCACCAATTATGCCAAATAAACATCACCTATTCTGAACCAAAACAGTACTTAAAAGTGTTTATGAGGATGATTTGATTTTTAGCATCTACTTTCTTTTCTTTTTTTAAGTATTTTTATTTTTATTTATTTTATTTATTTTTTATTTTTTATTTTAGTTTTTATTTTGGGGGGGGAGGTAATTAGGTTTATTTTTATTTATTCATTTATTTTTAAGTGGAGGTGCTGGGGATTGAACCCAGGACCTCGTGCATGCTAAGCATGTGCTCTACCACTAACCTATACCCTCCTCCCAGCACTTACTTTCTTAATCAAAAATGTAAAAGCCTTTTTTAGCAGAGTGAAAATGTTGAAGCCAGGCACAAACTTCGAAAAGAACTATTACTGAGCCATCAGAAGAGGCACCTAAAAACGTAAGTCAGAGAACACTAAACAAAGAGACAAAGGGTGGAGAGAAACAAGATGAAACATCCTGGAGCTAATAAAACCGAAGCCCTGGAGAGGAGTCTTAACCAGCTGTACTCACCGTGGAAATGCATAAACTGGGAAAGGTGTATTATGACCTGGACCACTTCCTGAACTGCGGTCATGACCCCCAAATCAAACATAGTTCTCATCTCACATCAATGTCTTTCACATCATTGGTTTCAAAAAGTCACAGAAATAGGCTTTCGATAGATTCTGTTTGTTTTGAAATCTACATGGAATCACAGACAATACCTATTCCTCTCTCACAATTTCAATCACGGCGCTCATTACATATTATGTCTCTGGAATCACAAAGCCCAGATTCAAATCCTGGCTCCATACTTTCAACTGTGTAGCCTTGGACAAGTTGCTTTAAGCAGAGGTAATAATGGCCCCCACCTCATAGCTGTTGTGTAAAGGACTTAATATATGTCAAGTGGCTGAACAACGCCTGCCACTGCTTTCATTATTATTAACGTCTTGGATATTATATGATTAGAATTATTTACACAAAGTAAGTAAGTAAGGTGCAATGATATTGCATTAACCATTATTAAGCTCTTTAGAACACAGAGGACATACGAAATACAACTAGGTTAATGAGAATGAACACAAGGATAATGATTTAGTGACATGGTTTTGAGGTTGTTCACTATTTCTGAGCTAAACTTAATGGATTTTACAAAATCAGAGACAAGAACATTTTTTCCACTACTTGGAGGTCTGAATGCATCAGCTCTTCTGACAGTCTTCAAGCTTTTAAAAGCTTGTGTAAAGGAAAGTAGGCTGTATCAGAATTAAATGTTACTTTTTTATTTTCTGACACTGCAAGTAAATTTAAGTTCATGGCTTGCCTCATTATTTGCTCTCCTATGTATTTTCTTTTCTGATTTTTTCCCAATCTGTGGCAACAACGGCAAATTTAGCCTTAACTATATTTGCAGCCCTTCCTCCACCAGCTCCAGATTCAGCAAGGGATGGAGGCAGTGTGCACACCATTCTGAAATTATTTTTCATTTTTCAGAGAATTTCAAGTATGGACGTTTCTAGGCCTTTCATGCTGTTGCTACTCAAGGAAAAACATAACGTTCAGTTTTCCTTGATGCTTTGCTTGAACTTCTAAATTGTATCATGCACAAATATCTGGGGTGCCTTGTTCCTTGGTAGGTGAAATTTGTTTTTCTTTCAAAACTAAAGTCCTCCATTTGATTAAAATTTGTGCCATTTTTATCCTACATGAAAAAGAAAACAAGCAATATGAATAAATAGGGAACTTGTTCAAACTTAAAACACCTCCCACCAGCTTCCCACTTCTACCTTCTAAATCAATGGTGAGTTCATCTTTCAATTATGTTAAACAAAATGACAGTAATATTAAGTAGTATTAGTCCTTATTGTAAATGTTCCTTATATATCAGGAGCCCACAAACACATTTTGTTTAGCTGACACATTTTTTCTAACATGGGCTATCATTTAAAACTCTGGACATTTTATATGTAAAGTTGGATTTTTAGCTTCTCTGAAAAATCAAACACTCTGCACTCCCAGATCCACACTGTCAGCATGGTAAACTGGAGCTTAGCAGCTGCTCCCCTTAAACTCAGTCTGAACTTCCAAGGCTCATCTGTTTTGCACCCTGAAGTGTTTTCCTCAGGTTCCTCCAAGAAGGAAGCACTGTGACAATTCCAGCATTTTAGATACACGCATTCTCTTCGATCCAGCAACTCTGGAAAAATAATGGAGGGTCATACAAGTATAAATGGATATCCACTGCAGCCTTGCTTGTGCCAAAGAGCAAAAAACCTGAATCGATTCAAGCATCAATAGGGACTGGCTGAATAAATGATGGTAAATTCATGCAAGAGAGTACCAGAGAGACCCCGGAAACAGAAAGGTAAATCTAGGCAAGCAGAAATGGAAATAGGTCCAAAATACAGTATTAGGTGAAAAAAAAGCAAAGTGCAGAATAGTATGTAATGTATGATCCAATCTGTAGGGGAAATGAATAGATATATTCATATAGACATAAATGTTTTTATATGCATTTCAAATGTTTGGAAGAAAATACAAGAAGCTTTTTCAAACCACATGTATGTATCCATCCATCTATCTATCTATCTATATCTATATCTATATACATACCTTAAAATATATTGCATATTTTATATATACCTTGTGTATGTGTGTATATATATATTTTTTTTCACCTAAAAAAAAAGGAAGCACCATGAACAGAGATGTTTCAAATCACTTCACATATGACCATCATCACTGCACCCTCATATTACTGACTTGATGGCCTGTTTTGGTTGCCGACTTCCCCTAGAGTTGATTGAGCCTGACTTCATTTCTCGGGCAAGGGGAAGATGAAGCCTTCTGGAAGGCCCTTCTGTCCAAGAGCAGCACAGAAGCAAGACAACGGGCCGCCTGGGAAGCTGTGCTTATTCACAGTACTTTTGCAGCTCCTGTTGCCGCCTCTACTGACTTTTCAACAGTAAATACGAACAGGGCAGAGAGGCAGGAGCTCCCCCGGGGAGAGCTGCCAGGCTCAGTCCAAACACCCTTCGAGCCCCTTTCACGTTTTGCGTGAGGCCCTGGGGAGAGAGAAAAGTGTACTATATACATCATCTCCCTACTGCTGCTACAGCTCTGGGCAGAGTGGGGAAAGCAAAGGAAGAAACGAGAAGGATTAGTTCCATTCTCACCAGCAGAAACCCTAACCAGTCAGCCCAATAGAGCAGGGTAAGGATTAGCTCTTCCCAGGAAAGGGAAAGCAAGTCTGTGCACGCATTCCTGTCCACACGCTCAGGACGGCTGTTCCTGGCACAGGCAGCCGTTATAATGTCCTCCACATGTTAGCAGTGGAGGAGGGGATGGCTCTGGGGACAGGGGAAGCCCAGGGCAGTGCAGTGCATGGCCACTAGCAGGATGCTATGCCTCTGAGTTAAGCCCCATGATGGATATCTAGCAGAAGCCGTCCTCATCAGCCCTCCACACCCAAGAAAGGAACCTCACCAGAGCCGCTGCAGGCCTCTCCAGCCCATCCTGCCCCCAGGCCTCAAGAACCAGAGGCAACTGTGACCCCCGCCTCTGTGCCCACCCGTTACCCTCTAAAGGCATCCAAGTCACACCAGAATAAAAAGATCAATACACATGGTACTTCTAAAAGTTATCACCTGCTAAAGCATGTTTTTCTGGGAAAAAAATACTTAGCAATTAATTAGGAAAAAATAAAGAAAACTAGGTAAGAAACAGATGACCCCCCCATAAACACTCCCTCCACACACACACACAAACACACACACACTGATGTTTTTCTTTTACTTAGGGTTTTAAAATGTCTCTATTCTTCTCAATTACTATAAGATACAAGGTAAAACATGAAGTCTATAGGTATCTATTCAGAACTAATGGATGAACATAGACGTCAGAAAACCTATGCTGTATTATTCGGAAAATGATACCCCCAGTGTTACACTATGTTGTGTTCTATATGGTGCCCTGACACTGCCTTTGAAATAAAGGAAAAAATAAAACATGATCCCTTTTGCTGTTTTCCCTTAACTTATGATGTTGTCTCCTTTTCAATATTCTAGTGTTTCCATATCAGTAACTTTGATTAAGAGTCCATTAACGTAAACTACGTACTTTGGTTGATAATAATATGTCCATGTTGGTTCATTGATTGTACCAAACATGCCACACTGATGAGGGATGTTGAGGGTAGGGGAGTGTGTATGTGTGGGTGGGGAGGGCTATGTGCAAACTCTCCGTATTTTCTGCTCAATTCTGTTGTGAGCCTGAAACTGCTCTAAAAAAATAAAGTCTATTTAAAACAAAAAAAGAGTCCATTAAGAGTGATTTCAAGCCTTATCACAAAAATCACCTCAAATATAGCAGATAGGCTGTTTGATCAATAAGCATTAAGAAGATATAAACAGAAAAAAACCTAATTCAGAGTCCTCTAATTCAGAATTAGTGGTAACGCAAAGTAGCCCCCCCCAACCTGGATCTTTAACGGTGGCTTGCTAAACAACTGGAAGATTAGAGATGCCGAGGTATCTTCACGATCTTGCTGTTTCCGTCCTGCTGTAATTTGTGTCATTAAGGTAATAATCAGAAATCAGTCTTATCTGCTTCTTAAGCAGGTGCAGCAAGACCAGCTACAATCAGCCGCTAGATGCTGCCGGTTGCAATACCTGTCCTTCATCTCAAACATCTCATCCTTCATTCTTTCCTCTACTCCAAGCTGGCTTCTCAGTCATGGCTGTTTTTCACTGGACCTGCTCACCTGTACATAGCAAGATCTCAAAGGGGGCTTACCTCTGAATCTTTGGCCTGCTGATTCCGAACGACTATCAAATTGTACAGGATCCTGTCGTCATCGGCCTCTGTGTGAGACACATCGTGAGGCATACTCCACAGGTTCTTCTCGTCATCCCTGGCCAGAGTTGCTCCAAACGAAGAATATGGGTTGTTGTCACTACGGTATAAAAAGAGGAGGTATAAGGGTTCTGTCATGTAAACTACATAGAATATATACAACACATCTATGTAACATCAAATGAATAATGTATTGTATATCATATGATGTAGTATTTAAATATCTTCCTAACCATACAATTTAAATTGTCTTTAATAATTAAGCATAACACAACAGAATAATTTTTAAAAATCACTTTAAAAACACAGATACAACCAGACGCCTGGGCAGAGGTAATTTTATTATGTTAAACATGAAATTTAGCACTGAGTAACCCTGCAGCTAAGACAAGAAGAAAAAAAGGAAAAAGGAAATCTAATGGCAAATAGAACGCTCATGCGTTTAAAAGAAGAAAACAATTAACATGAAGAGATGAACTTTTTCACTGGTGCTTAATTCAAAGAAATACAGTAAATTTAAAGTGTGATGGTATGTAATACCTATGAACTCCTTACAACAAGAAAATTAAGTAACAAACATGCATATTCAAATATTTTCAATAAACAATGTGGGACGTTGAGCAGGGATTTCAGGAGCCCCACGCTGTACATCTGTCTCATGATTTACCCTTTATGAGGCGGTATCTGGTGCCTGGGCTTATGGAACTAAGTGGCAGAGCACTGTACCGAGGACACGCCTGTACACAAGCCAGTTAACATCTGTGGGACTGGCCAGGGTCCCACAGGTCAGGTCCTGCTGGGGCCGTCCCCCTCATCCAATAATGTGTATGAAGCACTGACACCATGGTAACCACAGGGCTCAATAAAATTGTGAGCAACACAGACATGGCCCCTGTCCTTGGACCTCACTACAGTCTAGGGAGGGAAACACATTAATGAATGATCACATGACTATGTAATTCAAACTATAATAAGTGTTATAAAGGGGAAGTTCAGGGAGAGTAGTGGGGGTAGGTATATGGCAGGCATTGTGAAAAAGGAGTTCATGAGCTTTAAGCTGAAAGACAAGAACAGAGTTCCACACAACAGAAACAGCACGTTCAAAGGCCCTGAGGTGGGAGGAGGCAGGATGTATACATGAGAAGGGGGATGCTGGCTAGATAGTAAAGGAGAAGCTAAAGGGGCAGCTAGGGCCAGATAACAGCTGTGTAGACCATGTTTTCTAACATTCTTTAGAAATGTGGTCTTTATTCCTAAGGTAAGATGTAGAAGGGTTTTCATCAGGACTGTGATGTGACATGAATAGTATTACATCTTTAAAGGTCTTTCTGGCAAGTGTGGAGATGCTACAGGGGGTGAAGAGTGGACCTGGAAGATCCATTAAGATGCAACTGAGGTATGACTGGATAAAGAAGATGTGGTGTGTACACACACACACACACACACACACACACACACACGGAATACTACTCAGCCATAAAAAAGAATAAAATAATGCCATTTGCAGCAACATGGATAGATCTGGAGATTGTCATATTAAGTGAAGTAAGCCAGAAAGAGAAAGAAAATTTGGAATAATATGTGGAAACTAAAAAAAAAAGACACAAATGAACTTATTTACAAAACAAGAACAGACTCACAGACATAGAAAATAAACTTATGGTTACCAAGGGGGAAAGCAGGAGGGGAGGGATAAATTGGGAATTTGGGATTGGCAGATACAAACTACTATGTACAGAACAGATAAACAAAGACCTACTGTATAACACAAGGAACTATACTCAATGGCTTGTAGTAACCTATAATGAAAAAAAAATGTGTGTCTATATATATACACACACACACATGCACACACACAGATATATATGTATGTATAACTGGATCACTATGCTACATCAGAAACTAACACAGCATTGTAAATTGAAATTACAATGAATTGTAATAATTGAATAATTGAAATTGAAATTTATATTTCAATAAAAAATTGTTTAAATAAATTTTTAAAAGATGCAATGGAGGTAACTCGGGTGAAGCAGGATGGGTATCAGGATTAGAATGACGGTGTGCAGCTGAAGACAAGTGCACCGTCTGGGAGCTGGTAGAGGGGAGATGCTCTCTGGCTTTCCTCCCGGATGGTGAGTCAGGCCCTTGTCTGAGGCAGAGCGAGGATGCCCCATGGCCATGGGGTGGCAAACACACCTGCAGGGGTGACATGAGGGACTGGCGAATGAGGACAGACAGTGGACACCAGACAAGCAGACAGCACCTGGGAAGGAGGAATGAGAGTAACTGACAGTGGGGCTGCAGGTAAATGTTAAGATTTAAACAAACATGAAATACTCAGAAGTTGACACTAAGGAGATCTTGCAACAAGAAGCAAAGTGTTGGTCACCAAACTGGGGTTCAGCAGCAGGAGCCCTCCTAGCAAGGGAGCGGCTCCAGCACATGGAGATGGGGTGCCGGTCAGACTTGGGAGAGCCAGCCAGGGCCCACTTGCGAGAACTGGGGCAAAGAGGCGGTGAGATCTTGGAACCCCAGCTAGCAGGAGGCCAGCTACCTGAACGGATGCTGAAGAATGCTCCTTAAATCCCATTAGTTGCAGTTCAGAAGTGTGGGGTCTGGGACCAGACAGAGTGATTAGAATTATGGCAAAGGAGCAACTTACAGGGAAGCAGACACACAGCTCAGCCACACTGTTTTCAGAACCGCCTCGTTTTCCCTGCAGAAGCCGAAGCACAGAGAGACCAACCGCTGGCTCCTCTTAAGAATGATAAGCCAAAGAAAGGAGAGGGCAAATGATGTCTTGGTGCCCATACAGGCTTTAACGAGCATGTCAAACTCATTCATGCATTCATTCATTCACTCATTCATTAAGTTGTTTGTTTATTGAACAACTGTATACTGGGTGCTGGGCTAGATGCTTTGGGGACCCGAAAGTAAATAGGACACTGTCCTTGCCCTTAGTGTGACTATAATGCAAGGAGATAAGTGAACCTTTTTTTTTAAAGTGTAAACAATTGTAGGAACAGAGAAGGAGTGACACATTGTGGGAGATGAGAAGGACGTTCAAGAAAGGTTTCATGGAGGCAACAACACCTAGCACGACCTGAGGAGCAGGCAGCCTTTCTCCAGGAAGACAGGCAAGGGGAAAGGTGTTCCTGGCAGAGGGAACAGCGCCAGCAGCGGAGGGTGCCTGAGGGTTGGGGAATTCCAAGTGCTCTTGCGGGCTAATCACACCCGCCCCGAGGAAGGTGAAGGAAAGGTGATTTGGGGAGAGACTGAAGATCACGCTGCAGTTCAGGCTCTGTTCTGGGAACGGAGACAAGTTATCAAGGGGATTTTGAGCCTGGTCAGTCTGGGTTTTACAGAAACATTTGTGGATGAAGAAGGAACAGAGAGATGGCTCAGGAGGCTGTCACAATCAACTGTCACAAGACGGTAGGTGTGGTTTTCACGCCATGTTCTGTGAGGTCCTAGGGTCAGGGGGCTTGGGGGCCACTGTGGGGGAGGAGTGGGGCAGGAGGTGGGCAGGGCTGCCCTGGCAGAGAGAGAAAGAAGCCCACAAACCACCCATAACCAGAGCAGCTGCTCTGTTGAAATCTTATTTGCTAGAGTTAAAGGAAGATTTCTTTGGGCCTTGGGAAAGGTGGAGTTCTGTTGCTAAATTAGATCTAAACATTGTGAAATACCCTCTGGGGCAAGCATGAATGAGGATGTGGGCTAGAGAAATGGCGGTGGGAACAGCAATGAGAGGACAGATTCCAGGAGCACCTGAGAGGGGACAGGACAGCCTGGGTGACTGGTGATGGGCAGCACAGAGGTGCGAGGAGAGGGGTCAGTACTGACCATGCAAGCACAATGCCTTTACCCTAGACAGCACAGAGGAAGCCCCAGCTGACCTGTGAGCCTGCAGGACGTGCAGAGAGAGGTCAGGATCCCAGCTTAGGAGCGAGGACAGAGCGGGAGAGCAAGACTTAGGAGAAACGCTCGTACATTTCCGTCAGTGCGGAAGCCACTGGATCAGAGACAGGATGGGTCTGGGAACAAACAGGGAATGGCTGACCTAAGGAGCCAGGGTGGACGGGAGACCGGAGAGAGCAGTGAGAGCCGAGGGAGAGCAAGCACAGGGACGGAGAAGAATTCCAAGGAGCAGACAACGCTGGAGAGAGTCATCCCGTGAATGGTAGGAACGCCAATCTTTTTGCCTATAGAGTCTGTAGCCAGTGATAAACCACACAGTGCTTGACCCAAAGCCTTCCACGTTCCATCCCTCCTGCTGTCCACCTATCTGAGGTCAGAGGGCGGGTGACGCTATCCCACTTTGCAGGCAGTTGTTTGACTTCTCCCAGGACAGGCAGCCAGCTGAGGGTCCCCCTAGCCTGAGGTCCCCCATGAGGCATCTACAAGCAGCCACGGTCAGAAAATGACATCCAAATGCTCTGACAGGGATGCACCCACAAACTCAGCGTCTCAGCTAACGACTACACATGTGACAAGATCCCCATACAATCTGGCAAACTCCCCTGGGGCTTCTCAAGGCAGCCAGCCCCAAGGGCAGAGCTGTCACTTGAATTGCTGCCATGGCTGCTGACCGCAGTTCATGCCCCTCTCAGGTCCTGAAACCCACGTCCATTCCCGAAACTGGTCTTTTACTTTCCCCCAGATTTGTTTCATTTGTGTGAGTCTTGTCCCCTCAGCAAGTTGCTGTGTTCCCCTAGGGCAGGGATTTGTATCCAGTATTTCTTTCACATCGCACATCCCCTGGCAGGGGCGGGCACAGAGTAGCTGCTTTAAAGGTACCTGAACAGAGCACCTGAGCTGTGACCCCAGTGTGCTAACAGAAATCCCAGATGTGTAACTTAGTAAAATTCCCCAAAAGCAGGAGGTTTAAAAATTAGTCAGAGTCTACCTGAATAATCAGTGGCAAACATTTGACCATGAATAATCCAGCCACTTTTTGCTTGCTAACCCACAGTTTCTTTGTATGTTTTGAGACGATTATGCCAGCTGTCTCCCTGGCCAGTCGCTCCCACCGTCTCACACTCAACCAATCAACCAATCTCTCTCTTTCACTCTTCTTTCCACTGCACCCCACACATA